AATGTTCAAGGAGTGCTGGCTGAGATTTCCGCACCGTGACATTCAAACTCATCTCCCACTTTACAGAGACTCTTGAACCGCACTTGTCAGCTTTGTACACACCCTCCTGGGACAGGGAAAAGATAGGCCTGCGCTGTGTCTGTGACCAAATTCTTGACATTTCTCCTTCTGGCACCACAATGGGTCAGGATCACAACTCCTCAAATAAGATGTTATCAGTACCCAGAGACAGCCCACCATGCTTTGCTGCCTGAACCAAAACAAATCGCCAGTGAGCCCCCCCCCCTGCATGGTGGGAAACACACAAGACAACCAAAGAGTGGCCACTTTGCTATGCTCTATGGCAGTGGTGGCGAATCTATGGCACGGGTGCCAGAGGTGGCACTCAGAGCCCTCTCTGTGGGCACGTGTGCCATCGCCCTAGCCAGGCCCAGACCATCATTAAAGTGTTGAATTCTCTGCCAAATAATTGTAAGTAAACAATTTGTTTACTTTGTTTGGATCATCTTAAGTTAATGTATGAGTTGTTTTTTCTAAAGGAAAACTTCAGTATTCAGGTTAAATTGCTGGGCACTTTGCAATACACAACTGGGTTTTGGGTCACAGTTTGGGCACTCGGTCTCTAAAAGGTTCCCCATCACTACTCTATGGCATTCTATCCCCTAACCCCACCCAAAAAACACTATATCTGAGGAGAGACCCTCCGCTCAGGTTGCAAGTCTCTTGGTGGGGCCTGGAGCTCTCCCAGAATTACAATATCTCTAGACTAGGGTTCCCAATTCTGGGTTGGAAAATACCTGGAGACTTTGGGAGTGGATCCGGGAGAGGGGAGGGTTTGGGTTGGGGAGGGGCCTCAGCATGGTACATTGCCACAGAGTCCACCCTTCAAAGCAGCCATTTTCTCCTGGGGAGCTTTTCTCTGTCAGCTGGAGGTCAGTTGTAAAAGTGAGAGATCTCCAGGCCCCACCTGGAAGCTGGCAACCATAGACCATTACTGGGATCAGCTCCCCTGGAGAAAATGGCTGCTTTGGTGGGTGGCATTATATCCCACTGAGGGTCCTCCCCTCCCCAGGCTCCAACCCCAAATCTCCAGGAATTTCCCAACCCGCAGTTGATCACCCTAGGCCTGGTCCATACACTTGAGCCTGCCTAACAGTAGGGCCCAGTTAATTCCCATGATGCATTTGGGCAGTGAACCAAAGACTTTGTGCCTTACCACTTCTCCTATGGAGACCTGGCAAGAGGCCCCTTCCAGAAAGAATACTTCTGCCCTCCCGCCCTGCTGTGATCATTTCATGCTTTGGAGCGTGAGATTTGATTACCCTGATCTTAACAGGCAGCACCCATGACCATCAATTACCATTCGTGAAATTACCCAGCTGCCGCTCCCAGTGCCACGCAAGAAGGAAATTTAAAAAAAAAAAAACTGGGGAAAAAACCAAGAAAAAAATGGACACAACACTCTGCTTATTCCCCACCAGATCATCCTCATCTGTGGGGGAAGGAGTTTTAATTTTTGCTTCCCTTTTGCTTACAAAAAAAAATCATAAATAATCATAATAATTATTATAAACTCTTGTTTGTTCTAAACCAGATAACCGACGGACACACACGCACACACACAGAGATATATACACACACACATATATATGACGGACCATAAACAAAGGCTTTTCCGTTTTTCCTTCCAAGACTTTTTTCCCTAAAAAAAGTGCATGAACACTGCAAATAAATAACATTTTTTCAAAGTAAATAAATAAATAAATACATAAATAAATACAGTTTTGTGGCACAGAGACTTTGTCCAAGAGGTCAAAGGAGGAGGGAGTTTCATCCTGACCCTCACTCCCCCCGGCTCTTTCCCATCTCCTTCTGAACCAGGAGTTGGCCCTCTTGTCCCAAGCAGCAGGGGAAACGGCTGTGTCGAGGGACCCTTGCTTCTGGAGTGTGTGCAAAGGAGACGGGTTCACAGCCAAATGGAACTTCCATGTGCAGAGAAAACATACTTGCAATCAGTGTCAGGTGCTGGAAACAAACGGGCTCGGGTGTCTGATGGCTTCAAACCCCGCTCACAAGCTTCCTTTCAGACCTCAAGGTGAGGAATATTGGAAACCGGATGCTAGAACAGAAAAGCAGGGGTCTAATCCAGCAAGGTAATCCTTAAATTTTGCAGGATCCCTAACTATCACGGTTAGCCAGACCAGTTAAATGAGACCTCCGTGTTCAGAGACAGTCTAGCATTGCATTGTAATTGTAAGGGGATTACAGTGGACGTAAGCAGTTGCTTTTATGTGAGGTTTGCAGGCTGACTGGAAGCATCTGGCCGGCTTTCAGAAACCAGATACAGGACTAGGAGGACTTTTGGTCTTACCCAATGAGACGTGCTTAGGGTTTGTATGAGGGTCAGGGCTATCAACAGCCATGATGGCAAAATGAAGCTTCCGTGACCAGAGGCAGTCTACCTCTGAATGCCCCGCACTGGGGACAAACCAGAGCAGAGAAGCTGTTGCTTTGAGAACAACAGGTTGCCTCACGCCAAGTCAGACCATTGTTCCTTCTACTATGTGACAATCAGAAAGTAGTTCTCCAGGGCCTCGGGCAGAGAAAGATCTTTCTCAGCATCTTGCACCTGAGATCTTTTAGCTGGAGACAGCAGGGACTGAACAGGGACCTACAAAGGAAGTGAGCTAGTATCGAGCCAAATCCTCTCCTGTCTAATTCTGAACTCCCCTGTGGAATTTAGCAAATCTTTAGTGCATAAGACACAGCCCCTTCAAATCTTAATTCCTCCTCTGTGGCTGCTTTCACACACATTGGATAATGTACTCTCAATGCACTTTGGCAACAGTTTGCGACAAGATTTTCCTGTTTCATACAGGAAAATCCAGTCGCAAATAATTGCTGTAGTGCATTGAGAGCACGTTATCCAGCAATGTGTGACAGCAGCCACAACTTCACGCACTGGCTCTGAACTCAGGTAAACTTGCCTTCCCGCCGGTGCTTGTCATTTTCCAATAAGCTCATCTCCAGAGAGTTCCAGAGGGTAGCCGTGTTGGTCTACAGTAGAACTAGACTGGAGTCCACTAGTGCCAGAGAGACCAACAAGTTTTTTGGGGTATGAGCTTTCAAGGGTCAAAGGTCCCTTTGTCAGGTATCTGGTGAAAGGAGCTCTGACTCTCAAACACTCATGCTCCAAACAAATTGTGTTTGTCTTGCTGGTGCTACTGGACTTGAATCTATCTGATCTCCAGAGGATGCCAAACTAGATGGACCTTGAGTGTCATCTAGCAAGGAAGTCTGATTTCTTCTACTCTCAATGGTACATCTTCCGTGCGGGTTCCACTCCCTCACTTGGGATTTCTCCGATCAGATGGAGAAATGTGGCCAGATGATGCGGAACTGATTGGAAAGGAGTGCCATTTACACAATGACAAAACTTGGGAGATGGCGGTCTGGATCCAAACAGCTAGAGTCTGAGCGTTTCAGTGTACATGGCGTGTTTTGGCACGCGTTGTGCGCTCTCATTTGTATGAAAACATGTCCATAAGGCTCCCTTTGCACTTTAATCGTGCACTGTGCAGATGAAAATATGCAGACCTTTGCTGTAGAAAGAGCACGGATGAAACTGTTGCAACTCAAAGATGTGGTGGAAGGAGCACAGACCCATCATCGTGGGGTGGCCACTGCGGGGACTCGTGTGCTAGAATGTTGGGACTAGGCTCTGATTCCCGCCGCGGCAGAATCGGGCCCCGGGGGAACCCCGCCCCCGGCGTGCGCGTCACTAGGAAGTGACGTGGGCACGCCGGGCACGGCCATACAAGGGAAAACTATGGCCATACAAGGGAAAACTAACGCCGGACGGGAGCCCCCTGCTCCCGGCGAAGAATTATTTGGCAACCCTAGGATTGTTGGGAGGATAAAACAGGGAAAGGAAAATTACGTACGCTGCTCTGAGCTCCTTGGAGGAAGGGTGGAATAAAAACACACTAGAAACATTGACTAACTGCTCTCTGTTCTTTGCTCTGTTCGGCTGCTCCTCTGTGGCTGGTAAACACATGAAGCTGCCTTGTGGTTAATCAGACCCTGGGTCCATCCAAGCCAGCATTGCCTATGCAGACTGGCGACGACTCTCCCAGATTTCAGGTGGAGATCCTTCACATCACGTACTACCTGATTCTTTTAACAGGAGATGCCGAGGACTGAGGCTAGGACCTTCTGCATGCCAAGCAGATGCTCTGCCGCTGAGCCGCAGCCCCTGGTAGTGTCTGTGTGAGCCTAATGATACACCTTACAGCCACTGTATTTGTGACTATCAAGACATCAAATGTCTTAGCATCAAATGTCTTAGCATTAGACTATCTTAGCATCAAATGACTGGCAAGGACCACAGCGGCAGAGCATTCTTGGTGACCAAGGAAGAGTCAGAAGGAGAGAGAGATTCTCGTTCCTTCTCTGCAGGGGTTCGTGTCCCTGTCCTTGGAAATGTCGGCAACTCAGACATAACTGCAGTCACCTGGTTCCTTTGAGGATCCAGTGGGAGATTCCAAATGCAAACACAAAATTTAACGTGGGGGCAGCACAGGGTTGCTAGTCTTCAGGTGGGCCTAGAGATCTCCGGGACTTACAACTGATTTCCAGACTACAGAGAGAAAACGTCTACTTTGGAGGGTGGACTCTATGGCATTATACCCTGCAGAGGTCCCCTTCCCTCCCTAACCCCCACCCCCAAATCTCCAGGAATTTCCTAGCCCAGAGCTGGCAACCCTAGTGTAGCAGCAGCACCCCCACCGCACAGGACGTGAAGCAGATGGGTGGCTATGGACAGCTAAGAGACCAATCCCACATTCCATTTGGGATATGAACTCGGATATGGCCAGAGCGTGGTTCAAGTAGCAGATCTAGCTTGAAGTAGGACAGAAGTGGGCTCAGTGCTAACAGTTCCAGAACGGGGATTGGATCAGCTGTTTCCAACCCCGGAAGACAGCTGTGGCCCCAGCCATTCACACATCCAGCACGTGGTTGAGGTACGAAATGTAGCAGATCGCTAGCCGTAGGATCTCAATCTTGGAGAGCTTCTTATCTGGGGGAAGCGTAGGCAGGAGTTTGCGAAGTTCGGCAAAAGCCATGTTGAAGGCCTCGACCCGAATCCGCTCCCTGGTGGCATGAGCCGTCCGGTACTTGGCTGTGGCACGGCGGCGACGGCGGCGCTCCTCCCGGCTCAGGTGCTGAAGGTCTTTTTTCATAGTGTCGCCAGACTCAACTACCCTGGACTGGCTGCAAAGGCCAAGAGAGCCGGCCTCTTCCACCCCAACCCCACGCCCCCCTCCGCCCCCACAGTCACTGAAGACTGATTCTGTCTCTGAATGGGTCGGCTGGAGGTCAATCTCCGTCTGGTCTGAATTTAGCATCATGACTTGTGGTGAGGGATGGAGGATGAAACGGGGGTGGAAGGAAGGCAAGATGGATGGATGGATGGGATGCAAACTGGGCCTATGCGGAAAGAAGAAGACTGGCTGGAAGAGAGATGTGGAAGAAGGAGGGCAGAGTGGAAATGAGGTTGGAGGAATGGGGATGTCCAGAAAATGCTACCAACAGGTAAGTACGGCCACAGTAAGATTCCACATTCAAAGTTTCACCATCTGATAGGTCTTCTCAGGCAATTTCTCCAGCTGCAGTCAGCTGATGAAGAAATAAATCATGCCAATCTTCTTGTTGACTCCCAATCCTCCGAACAGGATGTTGAGCTTGGGATGTGTTTGACTCCGTTTCAGCCACCCATCACCAGGAATTCCTTCCGTATGCCCTGTCATTGAGAGGGAGAGAACATACAGCTCTGATTTGTTGAGGTGGTGGGAACGGCTCAGTGAACAAACATAGAGAAAAATAGTCCTTCGCAATGTATTATGTTAATAGGGAGGGTTACCCTTTTTTGGCCTAACCACGGCTCACAGAGTCGTTGCTGGGATAAAATGGGCAGAAGGAGCGCTGTGTGTGCCACCCTAAGCTCCTTAGAAGACAGGGGGGAGGGATAAAACATAATATAAAAGAGGAACTGTAAAAAGCAAACCAAAGACTTAAGTAAGAAAATAAAGTAGCAACAAATAACAGGGTGGAAAAGGAATAAACTGAACTGGAAAAGACTCAAAAGAGAGGTGAGGGAAGGAAAACACGAGGGGGGGGGGAACAAAGAAATCAAGCCTCTCAACTGCCTGCCCTGGTCTGTGACTGAGGGAAGGCCGAATCCCTCACCCAAGACCTAGAGGGGGATAAAAGGGACCAGACTTTGGAAGCTCCTTATCCATACTCTCCAGAGAGATGACAGGTGGGGAATGACTGAGGGGGAAAGCCAGAAGGGAGAAAGCAAGGGGTCTGCCTGTGTATTGAATGAGGCCTTCTGTTACTCGTTCTGGTGCCCTGGACATATGGAATGCAGCTGAACTTGGCACAGTGAAGTGGGAGGGAAGGAGGAGGGAGCTCTTCGTCCCCTAGTCCTCAACCCTTAATTTATAGAATGGGAGTTGGCTGGCAGTCATGCCCGCTTGAAGTCACACCCTTTGTCCTGGAGGGCAAAGGCGCTCTGCACATGTCCAAAGGCATGTGAACCAGGTACGGATGCCAGCCTCCAGGTGAGGCCTGGGGATCCCCTGGAATGACAGCTCATCTACAGACAACAGAGAGCAGTAGTTTCCACAGAGAACATGGTTGCTTAGGGGTGAACGCTGTGGCATTGTACCTCACTGAGGTCCCTGTCCTCCCCAGGCTCCACCCCCAAATCTCCAGGAGTTTCCCAACATGGATCTGGCAACTCTACCCCTCCACCCCCTGCCAGTGGCCAAACCTAGAACCGGGGAAGAGCCTGAAAAAATACTGATCCCCATTCCGTCCTAGAAGCTGAGACAATGGCCCCCCAAAAGGAGCTGCAATAGCTATTCTGAAGCTTACAAAAATCAGGAGATTCATTTCTGCAGAGCATTGTAAGAAGTGTTTCTCCCTCACCCTGATATCAAGTTTCCCCATTATCCAAACTTCAGATGGATCTGACATTCCAGTGTAGTCAGAAGTCACTGTTTGAATCCATCCCCCTCCAACATCTTCCAGGTGCAAACAGAAATGTGTTACCCCACCCCTGATCTCACACCAAAATATGGAGAACCCTATCTTCCCACATTCCTGAAGGTTCCACTCCAGTATTCAAATGATAAGGACGGTGGAAGGAACCCGGCTTCCCCTACCTTCTGGAGGTCTTCCGGTTACAGCAGCCTCTCCAACTCTAATTTAAGCCCAGAGGGTGATTTTGGTAAACGTGAACTAGAAAAACCTAACTATCCGACAAGCTGTTATCGATGGTTAAGAAATACATTGACAGCTGCCATGGGGTGCAAGATGGCAGTCTGTACACTGCACAGCACCCTTGTTCTTCGTGCACACGCACTGACACGGAACTAGTAACGCCATGTGGTCCACCTTCCAAAGCAGCCATTTTCCCCAGGAGAAGTAGAATCAATCTTTTAAATAAATAAATAAGAAATGTAAGTAGACTGGAGATCAGTTGTAATTCCAGGAAACATCCAGCTCCCCCCCTGGAGGTTGGGAACCCTAACGTGGACGTACGCTAGAGACAAGAAGCACTGATGACCACTCAGAGATTTAACTTGTAGAGGAGGGAACTGGATCCTGAAGACAAGCCTAGCTAGGCACTCTCACTAAGATAACCCTTCAAAGAGACGTTCCAAAAAGTAAAAATAGGGAGGGGAAAATAGGGTCTGTCCCTGGTTAATAAGGACAATTGAAGAGTAGATTGAATCATGTTTTGCTTTCCTCGGGTTCCTCCAATTGACTCTCTGGTGGATAAGCTCATAATAGCTTATTTGTGCAGAACCATGCCTAGAAACAAGGACTGTTTTTGGTGGCTGGAGTTGTTTACCTGAGACAAGTGTGCATATGCACAACAGTGGGATGGAGCTGAGAGGGAATGAGGGGGCGTGTGGCAATGCTTAATTTTTAATGAGAGGTACCAGGGTTCAAAACTACCTGGAAGTTACGCCTGCAGACTTGAATGCTTTGTTTCTGTAACCCTGTTATGTGGGAACCATTTGTGTTTCTTGAGTTGTGCTCTCTGCCAGTTTGGTGTACTGGTTAAGTGCGCGGACTCTAATCTGGGAGAACCGGGTTTGATTCCCCACTCCTCCACTCTCAGCCAGCTGGATGACCTTGGGCAAGCCATAGTTCTGATAAGAGCTGTTCTTGAAAAAGAGCAGTTTCTGTCAAGAGGTCTCTCAGCCCCACCCACCTCACAGGGTGTCTGTTGTGGGGAGGGGAAGGGAAAGGAGTTTGTAAGCCGCTCTGAGACACCTTTGGGTAGTGAAGGGCGGGGTATAAATCCAATCTCTTCTCCTTCTATACAGAAAGTCCCTTTTTCTTCCTGGCACTAAACACAGCTGGGACTGAGATCTCTAGGCTGAACCTGAGCCATACTGAGCCCCTTTAGGTTGTAACACATGGAAATGTATCACAAGATGGCACAAATGTATGTTATGGATGAAAAGATGTCATGGTATTTGGGGAACAAATGCTTCCAGTTGGAACAGCTCACTAGTCCTCAGTGCTTTATTTCTCCAATCCACAGCTCACTTCTTGCTCACTAGTCCCCAGTGTGTTGGGGCTGGCTGTATGAGGAAGGAAGAAAAACTTCTGAGTATATGCAGAGGACATATTTTACTATGGCATCCCTTGATCTACAAAACAAACTTCTGGCACCATGATGGGGCTCTGACAAGACGTACAAACAATTACAAGTTTTATAATCCAAAAGTTGGGTTGACAGGAAGCATGCATTGCCTTTTTCAGAGTCTGTTCATGAAGTTTAAAAGACAAGATCTGTGGACACAGACGATATCAGAAGGCACAACATCCCTGCCCTGAGAGCCTGTGACGAACTCCAGAGGCCATGTGACTTTTCAGATCTATTGAGCCATTTGTGTCTTGCCTAATTTCTAAAAATTCCACGCATGAGAAAGATTAGCCATTCAAAAAGCTACAGGGCGGCTCAGTCCACAATGACAAATGGGCACAAGGACATGAACACATACATGATGCTGCCTTATACTGAATCAGACCCTTGGTCCATCAAGGTCAGTATTGTCTGCTCAGATTGGCGGCAGCTCTCCAGGGTCTGAGGGAGAGATGTCTTGGTTCTTTTTAACTGGCTATGCCAGGGAGTGAATCTGGGACCTGCTGCCACTGAATCTGGTACCTCTTCCACGGAGCCACAGCCCTCCCCAGGTAGCTGCATTGGTCGGTTGCAGCCAAAGCGTCTTGCAGTGCTTGCAAAATTAATTTATTGCACCCAACATCTGATGCTCCAGAGCCCATTTTTTCAACTACATGAAGCGTTACCCTCAGTTAGCAGACACACACACACACACACACACACAGAGGTCCAAACAGAAGGAGAGCAAGGCAACATGAGGCCAGAAGGCCCCAGTCCAAAAGACTGATGCGTTGCTATTGCTATGCAGAGAAGTAATGAAAATAATTGGCAAAGTGATCCAAATATGCCTCGGAGAGAGACAATGGCTCGCCACAATGAATTAGCCACTCCTAGTCCCTGTTGGGACTGAGAGTGATCCTCAAGCTGTTTGAGGGGTGGCCCTACTAGCCTGCTGCCGCAGCTCTCCAAAGAAGAGCCCTGTGGCATCTTCAAGGCTCACAAAATGATTGTAGCAAAAGCTTTGGGGGGCCAAAAATTCACTTTGCAGGGTGCTTCTAAAAGCTTATGTCACAACAGTACATTAGTCCTTCAGAGGGCACGAGACACTCCAAAACAAACATCTAAAACCAGATTCACATGAGTTCAAAAACTTGTCAGACCCATTTAAGTTTCTCACACAGTCAGGTACAAATGTTAGAATTCAGACATCCTCTGCTCACATATTTTACAAGCTGTCCCACAGCAGGGTTGGGCAAAGTCAATATGCAAGGTGATCCCGAACATGTTTACTCAGAAGTGTGGTCCAGTATTTCCACCACCACCCCCATCATCACAGCTGACTTACGGTGACCCTGTGGGGTTTTCAAGGCAAGAGGTGTTCAGAGGTGGTTTGCCATTTCCTGCCTCCGCATCATGACTCTGGAATTCCTTGGTGGTCTCCTTTCTGAATACTGACCAGGGTCAACCCTGCTTCGCTTCCCAGATCTGGAGGAACTGAGCTAGCCAAGTCAAGCCCAATAGAGCATACCTAGTAATAATTCCAGAGGAGTTGCTGTGTTAGAAATTAAACAGAAGCCTTGTGTCACCTTACAGACTGACAAAATTTATTTCAGCATCTGTTGTCAGCAAAGCGCTTCCTAAGATGCACTGTGTATACATCCATAGGAACTCCGTATCACTATACACCTCCATGCATGTGGT